ATGACAAATATGATAAACTGGGTATTAAATATATCATATTTTATCATTTGCATAATTGTAAGAAGTTTGCTCAATTTATACCTCAGAGAAAAGAGCCTTTTAATTGGACAAAAAGGGGAAAATGTTGTGCATTACACTGGTGCTGTTTATATTTCGATGTTAATTCTGCTTCCTCAAGAGGGGCTCCCCCAACTCAAGTGATCTCATTGAACCTTATCAAATAAAGGCCAGAGCTGATGATTGGGCAGTGGAAGGGAAAAGGTGGGGCTGAAAGTCTCAGAGAGGAAGAAGAGAAAGAGAACAGAGGAAGAGGAGGTGGAAGAAAGATGGAGCCAAACCACATGGCCCAGAGAAGCCACAAGTGGGAAGGGATCTCATAACTAGGGAATAAATTAATATAGTGATAGATCTGCCCAATATAGGCATATAGTTTATAAATATAATAACTGAGTTGTGTGTTTTTATACAAGCTTTATTGGGGTAAATTTTGCTGCAACAGACCCCTATGGTTGAACTAGGGGAAGGACTGAAGATGCTGAAGGGAAAAGCAACCCCATAGGAAGATCAGCAGTCTCAATTAATACAGACCCTAGGGAGTACCATAGAGTAAACCACCAACCAGGAGCATACACCAGGAGCTGGTCCAAGGCCCTTGGCACATATATAGCAGAGGTCTACCTGGTCTGGCCTCAGTGGGAGAAAATGTGCTTAATCCTTGAGAGACTTGAGGCCCCAGGGAATGAGGAGGACAAGGGAGAGGAGCACTCTATCAAAGTCAAGAGGGAAGAAGAGTGGGATGAAGAACTGTGTGGGGTGGGGGCAACAACTAGAATGTAAATAAATAAAATGTATTTTTTATTATTTTTATTTTTTACAGTCCAGTCTTTGCCTTGCCTCCCTGTGTGCCCTTCTACAGTTCCTTATCCATTCCTTCTCCTCCCCTGTCTCCAAAAGGATACCCCCCTGACAGGCCTCCCCACTCCCTGGAGCCTCAAGTCAAGGTGCATAAATAAAATAACTTTTTAAAAAAGAGTTCACAGACTCACCCTACTTCTTGCTTGCAGTTAAAGATATAGACTCAGCTTTCTGCTCCAGCTCCCTGCTGCCATGTCTCCTCCACCATTATGTAGTCTCCTCTGGATCTGTAAGCTCTGTAAGTTTCTTTTGTCGTGGTATTTTTACAGAAAATTAACTAACACAGAAGTTGGTACCAGAGACTAGCTTGCTGCTGTAAAGAGTCTGACCATGATGATTTCTGGATGACTGTTGAACACTTTGGAGCTTTGGATCATTAATACTGTAAACATATCTTTAAAAAGCTATTCTAATAGCAGTCTTTGGTAGACAGTAATGATTAAAGTAACGCAGACAGTGGAGGCCAAATTCATGAGGTTTCAGAGGGGAACGATGTTAGCAGCTGGGCCTCAGTTTACTAATATGCTATTTTGGCAAAGAGTATGGCTGTTTTCTGGGCATATTCTGAGAATTTACATGAGACTAAATCAGTGGTTCTCAACTTGTGCATCACAATACCTTTGGGGGTCTAATGATACTATCACAATGCTCTACCTAAGCCCATCAGAAAACACAGATATTTGCATTATGATTCATAATAGTAGCAAAGCTACAGTTATAAAGTAGCAACCAAAATAATTTTATGGTTGGAGAATCATCACAAAATGAGGAGCTGTATTAAAGGGTCACATCATTAAGAAGGTTGAGCACCACTGGACTAAATTAACAGGCAAGAGATTAATTTTTTTGGCAAAAGAAAATTTCAAGACAGAAGGACATTGAGTCTGTGGGGTAGTTATATTACTGAAAATTTTTATGCAGGTCTATAATGAAAAAAGAGCGAGGGGGGCAGAAAGAAATACAAAATGTAAAGCTTGCAGAGTAAAACATAAAATATCACTAGAGTGATTTGCAATCAAAGCATGTGCTTAAAGAAAGTCTGTAACAGTTAGAGATTGACGCTATTAAGGAAAGGCTTCATGCTCCTCATTGAAATGGTGGGAAATGTGCTAAAGAGCAAGACCCCACAATCTAAACTTCCAGCTTGTAAAAAAAGAAAGCCTAAGGGAAAAAACACAATTTTCAACATAAAAAGTTGCAATAGTAGAAGTGGCCCAGGATCCATCTCTATCTGGCACAACCCAGTGTGGTAGTATCATGCACGTAGCACTGGCTTTGGAGCCATTAAAGATGCAAGAATGAGGAGACTGTAAGTTCTCCCTTTGCAGTTTCAGAGAGCCTGGGGCCAGCCAAATGTATGCCAGCACTGGAGTCACTGCAAGAAGTCCCTTGTAGTCCAGGCCTTCTGAGTCCATTGGATAAAGCTGTAAAGGGGAACCCTGGGTTTCAATGGAAACCCCAAGATGTGGGAGATGCCACAGCCATGGGACATCTGCCAAGAAGAGCCAAATACAGTGGAGATATATGTTGCAGGCAAAAAGTCCGAAAGCATAGAGCCCATCTAAGCCCTGATCTAGATACTTGACATGGGGCTACAGGAGTTATTGTTTGTCCTGCTGGATTTTGGTCTTGCTTTGGTTCAGTGTGATTTTCACTATGCACACATTTGGCTAGGAATTCATATTCTATGTCATTGTATGTTAGAGGTGTGTTGGTTTTTGGATTTGGTTTTTTACAGTGAGTCACAGTTAAGAGATTTTTTTAAGACTCAGAAGAGATTTTGTTCTTATGACTTTTGAACAGTATTGAGACATGAAAGACTATGGGGACTTTTCAAGTTAGGCTAAATGCATTTTACATTATGATATGTCTATGAGCTCATGAGGCCCAGAAAATAGAATGTGGTGATTTCAACGAGAAATGTTCACCATAAGCTCATATATCTGAACACTTGATGCCTAGTTATAATACTGTTTGGGGATGTTATCCAACATTTAGGAGGTGGGTCCTTGGTGAAAGAAGTACATCACTGCGAGTAGGCTTTGGAAGTTTATAGCTTCACCCTACTCCCAATTCACTCTCTGTTTCCTGCTGCTATGCATGGCTACTGTCATGATTCCCCCATCATTATGAACCCTTTCTCCGGATCCAAAATCAAATAAATTCTTTATTTTATCACAGCAGCAAAAAGTAACAAATATATTCTACCAGCTTTCTGATTTTTATCTTAACCGGAAACCAATCCCAGAGGATGATGCTGGCCTTTTTAATGTAGTCTTCCTTATTCAACCTAATCAAGACAATCCTTCACATTCATGCTCAAAAACTAAACTAATATAAATAACCCCTCACAAGTATACCTGGAAACTTGAATCCTAGTGATTCTAGATCTTGTCAAATTGGCCATACCATTGTTGATGGTTTCCTTCTAGAAAATTGAACCAGAAACTTCCTCCCTGCTGGTTAGCTTTCATAGTCCTGGGAAGTGCTATGCAGACTGCTGCAGAAGAATTTTCATCAACAGTTTACTCAGATGTAAATACTTGCACTACACTATAACATGTCAGAGATAGTGTGTCTTGTGCAGTGTCAGCATCACTGCCATGGGGTTAGCAAACCACTTTCTGACTGAACTTAAGGCCTGTACCACAAGTGATAACTTGTATTTGACACATCAAACCTAAGTGAAAACCCATAGCTCTGTACATCATAGACCTTAGTGGAAAGAGTATGGTAGTCTGAATAATAGTCCCCATAGGAGCATGTTTTTGAATGCTTGCTCCCCACTGAGTGGAATTATTTGGGAAGGATTAGGATGTGTGGTCTTGTTGAAGGAGATGTGTCACTGGGAGTGAACTTTGAGATTTTAAAATCTATGCCACTCCCAGTTAGCTCTTTTTCTCTCTCCCCAACCCCTTTCTTGCTCTCTCACTCTCCCTCTTTCCCTCCTTTATGCTTGTAGATAGAGCATAATCTTTCATCTACTGCTTCAGTATCATGCCTGCCTGCTGCCATGCTTTCCACCATAGACTACTTTTGGAACTGTGAGCCCCTAAATTAAATGTTTTCTTTTATAAAATGACTTGGTCATGGTGTTTTTGTCATGGCAATAGAAAAGTAACCAAGACAGGAATCCCTTGTTGCTGCTGTGGGAGTTGTTTTGTTGTTTGGACTTGATCTGCCTGTTGAATTGCCATCTACATAGCTAAATTTGTGTCCTTAAGTACTGATGCTATCAGTTATGGTCAGAGAAGTTTTTTTTTAATACTGGGTGCAGTTACAGCAAACTCAAAATGGGTCAAAGTGCTGGAAATACATGACTGTTGAATGTTCATCCATAAATTGGATATTTATATTATCCCCCTCCATGGCTCAAGGAACAATATGAGAAGTTTAAGAGCCAGAGGAAGCGGTGATGCACAACATTCTATAGCCATTGTACACTTAAGCTCTTAGCAGTCATGGTTACCTGCACAAAACCCGCCCAGATGGTCCAGTCAACATTCCATCATGGGAAGTAGAGAGGCTTGTAAGGCCATTCCCTTCTTACTGAACATTGCTAGATGAAAGGACTTCTAAAGGCCTACTGCTCCTAAAGAATGATAGTCAGTTATTTATTTTTAGGAATTTTTTCAATTGAATAGCTACTGGAAGTTATCTGCTGTCCTATAAATAACCTCTCATTCATATTTTTATAGCTAACCCTAATGGAATTTTTTGTTTCACACACAAAAAAGACATTAAAGTACAAGATGACTGTGTAAGAAGAGGAAGGGGACCAGTGAGAGTGAGAGAAGAACAAGAGCAAGGAGTGCTAAATATGATAAAATATAATATATATGGAAATGTTACAATAACACTCATTATGTATAACTAATATATGCTAAGAAAAAGTTTTAAAGTGACTAAAATCCTGGGGATACATTTTTGCAAATTAAATTCAATAAGCAGAAGGAAAAACAACATGTTTTAGTCCCTTTTGAAAGAAACATGTATACATTATATTTAATAGTAGCATATTGCACCTTGACATCTAGACATGTATTACTAAGCTTGTGTTTCCTTTATGCTCCCATTATGCTTACCTCCATGGTTAGGACATCTCCAGAATTCTTCATTCCATTTATGTGTGCAACTTTTCTAAGTTCCTTTAAACCCTTCTCAGGTTTGTTGGTCATAATCAGCCACCGAGCTGACTCTGACAACCACCTGCTCAAGAAGAGTTTGGAATTAAAAACAATTCTGATGTGGTCATTTTCTGTGCCAAATTTGTCCTTGGATGGTTTTATTAGTCTAATGGTTACAACTCATTCTGTCAAAACAGTAAATATAATCCTATGTTTTCTGATACCTTCACTATAAAACAATTCATTCATGCAGTACACCTGTACTTTTGGAATACAGACCTGGAGTCATGTTGGTCTTCCTGCCATGACTTGGATGCAAACTTCATGGAAGTCACTAAACTGAAACATAAGGAACCCCTATATAGTACTTTTCCAGATTTCCTTGTTAGAATGTAGGAAAATTTATTCATAATATTTTTCCTAATTAAGAACCTCTGAAGAAACTTTACTGACTAATTATATCATCTGAATTGCATTCATTCCTACGCCAAGAACCTGATGGCATTTAACCATGCATGAAAGAAGAGGCTAGCTCAGTTTCTCATCTATATAGTGTGAGCATCAGTGCTATGATGTCAATTGATATGTACTGAAGATTTAAGTTATATGAATGAATCTGACAGAAGGTTTACACTTTTGCTGGTATAAATGCATCTCACTGTATCAAACTTGTAATCACTTCTTAGAGTCAATTCTAACCAAGTATGTCTCCTCTGCTGATCCAGTACTGTAGCACTTTTTAAATAATTTTTAAAAGAAAGAAGGGTGGGAAAAAAAGAAAGGGTATAATTTTGGAAGCTAAGCTCACATAGCCTTTTGCACTAAGTAGGAGACTTCAGCTTCTCCTGCTTAGGACCATCCAGGCAACCCAGAAACTCACTGGACCAATTTGAAAAGGAAAATTACATCTCAACAATACTATGACTTAGCCCTATCCCGAACATTGTGTCTCTAGCAAAAGAAAAAGGGCAACCTGAACCAAAAAAAGAAGAAATAACACTTAACCAACAAAGTTTTCCAACTGCTTCAATCCCAGCTCAGAAACAAGAGCATGATAAACCAAGGCAACATGACTTACAAAAATTACAAACTCCATAATAGTGATCCTTAATGAAAATGACCAGGAAAAGCTCCAGATAAATAATTCAACAAAATGATTAGAGTTGTAATTACCTTATTTTAGTTAAGCACCTCAAATAAGATGTTAATATGCTCCAAGATAACAAAAACAAAGGGAATAATAAAGAATTCAATACAAGGTATGAAAGCATTCTCAACAAAGAGATAGAATTACTGAAGAAAAAACCAACCTGAAATCATGCTGAAATTTTTAAAAACTCAATAATCCAAATAAAAAGTTCAGTGGAGCCCAGGCTGGCCTCCAACTTGTAATCCTCCTGCCACCACCTTCTTCACCAAATCCTACCAGCATGTGCCACCACGACTGGCTGTTTAGTTTGGGATTTTTGTTGGATTCCTAACAATGGGAGTGATTCTTTTGCCTGCCCCTGAAATCTTTTTTTTTTTTTTTTTGAGACAGGGTTTCTCTGTGTAGCCCTGGCTGTCCTGGAACTCACTCTGTAGACCAGGCCGGCCTCGAACTCAGAAATCCGCCTGCCTCTGCCTCCCAAGTGCTGGGATTAAAGACATGCGCCACCACTGCCCGGCCAAAATGTATGGCCCAGGCTGGCCTTGAACTCATCATCCTCCTGCCTCTGCCTCCTTCAGCAAATCCTACTGGGGTGCGCCACCACAACCAGCTGGAATCTTTTTCCACCTGCTGGATTGCCTTGTCCAGCCTTGATAAGAGGGTTTATAGCTAGTCTTATTGTATCTTGTTATGTTTAAGTTGATATCACTAGGAAATCTGTTCTTTTCTAAAGGGAAATGAAGAAGCAGTAGATCTGGGACAGAGTAAAGGTAGGGAGAAGCTGCATTTGGTGTGTATTGTGTGAGAGAAAAGTATTTTTTAAAATAAATAAGTTAAAACAATTTTAGAAGAAAATAAACAAAAAACTTCATCGAAAGCCTTATGAATAGAATGGAAGACAAGGTAGAAGAAACATGCAATGAAGGCCAATGATACATTTTTAATCATATATATATGAATATGATTGTTGATTGAATAATTCCACATATTTTTCCAACTTCAATGGAAGCTGAGGGCCCATAGAAGGGCCTGTTTTTTAACTCCAGGTTAAGATTACAGGTGTGCGGGAAGGTCCACATATCCCAGTAGTCTTAACAATAGCTGAGAAACCAGGGTAGGCTAGATCTAACTCTGGGTAAGGCCCACAAGCATGCAAAGTGTTTCCTAACTCGCAACACAAGTTACAAACCCATTCAGGAGGGCCTAGCTGACACAGGACTACCTGAACCTCAGAGGATCAATAAAGATAGATCTCCCAACCCTAAAAACCAGTACCTCAGAAGAGGCATCTCAACCCTACTAGAACTGATTCTTTCACTGAACATTGCAAACGGCACCATAAAATAAAAATATAAAATAATAAAAGGAAAACACAACCAACAAACTAACTTCAGATTGCAAGTCCCATCACAGAAACAGAAATCATAAGGAAAACCAATACAGCATGTCCCCTCTTCAAATCATTGCACTTACATAACAATGGCACTTAATGAAAATGACTTAGAAGAACTATCAAAGAATTCAAAAGAATGGTAAGTATGTAGAAACAATTCAAAGGAGACATAAATATACTCCAGCAGAACAAAAACAAAGAGATGAATAAATGAGAAAGCTGTGTTGGCTTAAATGAGAATATACCCCCATAGTCTTAGGCATTTGAGTAGTTGGTCCCCAGTTGGTAACATTGTGGGACTGGGGGTAGAGTTTTGACAGTTAAAGAGTCATACCATTTCTATTTCATTCTTTCTCTCTTTCTCTTTCTCTCTCTCTCTCTCTCTCTCTCTCTCTCTCTCTCTCTCTCTTTCTCTCTCTCTCCCTCTCTCTCTCTCTTTCTCTCTCTCTCTCTCTCT